AAGTTAAATACCCACAAAACAAAGAGAAACATCGACTCCTCCAGAAAAAAATCTTTTGAAGAATCTCATTTGATACATATTTTGATTGTCCATACAACACTGCCTAAATTTGATAAGGACCAGCTGTTTCTGAGTAATTTGGTATTTTCTGATAGTGTTATTGAAAAGAAAGAAATACACGTTTTGTAATATTGTTAAAATATAAAACAGACTGAAAGGCACTATCGCACAAAACTGAGGAAAAGACTGATCTGTAAAATGACACTTTTATTAATGAATAATCCCTTCCGTAATAAACTGAAACATCAGACAATGAATAATATCAAGAATGAATTATAACCCCTGTTGATCCAGACGGCAAGGAGCGATGCCCATAACAATATTGTGATGATTTGAAGCAAATAGTTTTTACCACTTTTTGTTATTATTGAAAATGGATGCACTGGAGCATAGAAACGAAATCGTTATCTTCAGTTTTCTGCAAATATCCCATAAAAGTTTGGACGAATTTTTGGATTAAGGAATATCAGTTTTTAAAAATACAAATTTTGTTCCATTCAACAAAACTTGTAGGACCTATAATTTCCAAGATAACAATTGTGATATAACCTAAAAAAAATGACCTGTTCCAATATGATTAATTGGTATTATTTTGTATTCATTCTTGTCTTCATGATTATCTGGCATTAACGTTTTGGTGTTATTTCTTAATTTGAAACTTTGTTTTGCTGTTCTATCATTTGATTCTTTACTAATGAATAGCAATATGATTATTTGTCGTTTTGTTTACATTTGGCTTATGAAATAGTAGCATTCATTAACTTTCAATTTATATCTTGTCATTATGATTTCACATATGTGTAATCTATTCAGTAATCATTCAATGAATATCCTGAGTCCAATCCCAAACCTTATTAAGTAACATTATCTCCTAACCATAATTTCACCTTATTTCTTAGTAAACACCCAAAGACATCGAAGACTATATTATGAAACCTCCTTGTGAAGCTGAAGGTTTAGATGAAATTTCTGGTAAAACTATAAAATATTTCAAAAAAATCATAAGTACAACTTACTATAAATTAAACTTTACCAAAGTTGGGAAACAACTAGAAGTCTAAAGTAAGTCAAACCAAGAATAATCAATATCGGTGTACCACAAGAAGTTATCTCCGATCCAGTTTTATTTATCATCTTCATGAATGACATGGCACACTTCTGTCCTTATACAAAAGATATTTTCATATTTACCGATGATACACGGGACCGTAGTAGCGATGGCGAGTATCTCAGTATGAGGCTTTAAAAAAATGTTCAATGTGTATAAGAGTACGAGCAATGATATCAGGTATTTGTAAAAACCACTTACACAAACATTGAACAAAAGAATTCTATAAAGTTTCTTAGCGTTACATGGACTTGCAAAGAAATAAAACACTATGCTTCCTAAAAAGTAAACTATGAAGATCATTATTTATGAAGTATTGAAATTGACTTATTATAGCCTTGTCTTTATTAACATATGTTCTGATTTGAAAGGCAGACTTGCAATTTCTGGCGCAAAATGAACTTGAGAAATCTAACGGGCATGTCGCCAACAAAGAGAATGGAATAAAAATTAACCAAACTGGAAACCTTCAATGAAGTGTTTTTTATAATCAGTTTCTATGCTAAGCTAGATTACTTCAGAGTCTAGTGAAGGAATTTTTGGTTGAACAATGTGTGAACAAATAGTGACTACTTACATATAGATTAATCTCAATCTTCCTACTAATATTCCTTTTATCACAAAATTTCATGTACCCAAATATCATTCATCGATAGTTATCCCACTCAGATTGAACAATGGCTGCTCTTTACCTCACCTTGCTAGAATAGGTATAGTAAAACCAATAAATGTCCTTGTAATGATTCATTGATCAGAGATTTAAATCACATATTTTTCGAAAGTTCAATTTTCAGTACAGATTGGAACTTCTGGCAAAACTGTCATTAAGTAATATTATCTTTCCAGACCACTACCACTTAACGATAAGAAAGTTTACGACGCAATTATTGATTTTTTTGAAAAAATATGTATATGTAATGTAAAGATATAGACCTTTCTACTATTACACCGATGTTCACTTTATACAGGATGTTTATTAAACATGAGGCAAAAAATTAAGGGACTATTCTACGGATATTTTATCCTTCGATGATTCTTGATAAGGCGCTTCGTTTTGAAGATACAGGACAAAAAAGAATTCCGACAACAATTTTGGTAATTTTAACATTATTAACGTTGTCAAAATAAAAGTATAGCGTACTACACTGACTTAATAACAATTCCGTTGGAACCTATCAACAACATGCCGATTACTACAAACAGCTGCAGACATCAAATTTGCTGGGTGTAACGCAATCAGAAACAATCCTGGTGTTTTTGAAAGAGTTCGGGAGTCGATGAGGAGAAGATTGGATTCTTGCATCCGAGCGTGGGGTAGTCAATTTCAACATTTCTTGTAGATTAAGAAACATTACATGTAATTTTTGGTAATAAATTGATATTACCGAAAAACTTTTTTGCTCCGTATCTTCGAAACAAAGCGTCCTATCAAAAATCATCAAAGGACAAAATATCCTTAGAATAGTCCATGGAATAGACCCTTAAATTTCTGCCGCATGTTTAATAAATACCATCTATAGTCATCAAATAGCCTCATTCACAAATATACAATATGCAACAAAACTGTTTTCAGTTCATTGGTTTACCAAGCAACATGAGGCAACCCATTCTCTTCTTTCATGACTAACCTGTTAAGTAGCAGTTTTGAGATGGAAGCAAGACAAGAGTTTGATTAGTTTCCACGAACTTGAGTCCGATATGTGGAAGACTTATTTGCCATTTTCAAAACAAGACTAAGGTAGAGGATTTTATAAGTTGTCTCAATAACAGATCTCCAAATAGAGTTAGCATTCTTTGATGTCCTAGTTATGAGGAAAATTGATAAGGGTGGTGTATACGGCAAGAATACTAGCAATTTTGGATATATCCCTGACTGCTCCCACCATTGCCCACAACAAAAATTTGCGGAGCTGCATTTTCTTGTGCATAAGCTGGTCACGTTCCCTTAGAGCAAAGAAAAATATTATTTTGAGAAAATAGTTATCAAGAGATAGCTGAAAGTAACTGATATCCATCAAACAAAGCGAACAAATCAATTAGGAAAAGAAAATTTAGAGAGTACCTTCGTAAATACCCGACGGTGAAAACTCAAAGTTCTTCAATACAAAACAAAATTCATCAACGGATTGGTTCAAATTTTTGAAAACTTGAATATGATAGTGGCTTTCAAAACTTCTCGTTCACCTCAACAAGTGTTGGGCAACCCGAAAGACAATACGAATGAAAGGAAAAGTCTAGAATTTATGAAATAGGTTGTGAGGTTTGAGATAAAAAATATGTAAGTCAAACTACACGAAAAATGTTTCACAGAATGAGAGAGGGATGCTTGAAATTGTTGAGAACGGTACATGACAAGTTTTCAGATGCCTTCAAAAGTTTATAAATAGAAAAACGTGAAATGAGATAAATGAATGATATTGAAATTCCCATTCCTAATAACTTAATGTTTTGCACAGGCACATAATTTCTGGTAGTAAAAAGGTGAAGTCTAGATATCAGTCAGAGAGTAAATGACAATTAAGCCATGACAAAATAATAGAAATGAATTAATTGACGTTCATTATGCAAGGTAATAATTCGTGTAGATACACGTAAAACATCAACATATCGCTAGTTGCACACACATCGATTTTGGACGGCCAGTATAAAATCGCCCGATATTTTATTGGTAGCGAGTGTTTGCAGACTCACCTGATTTTTACTGGTCACCGTAATTAGCACGCACTACCAAAACTGAGCTAATACGTAGTAACTACAATTTCACCGAGCAGTCGAAACTAGAATGGTCAGAAAAAAATCGGTGGGTATGCAAGAGTGTATTTAGTCACGTACGCCACTACTTCCCGGTACTGCCGGCGATACAGTGACAGTGGACGGCTGCTCACCGGTATTTTACCGGCGACGATCACCGGTCAGCGTGTGTGCCTGGTCCCGTTCCCACATGTGGTTCACTATTGGAATTTGGACGACCGGTATAAAATCGGCCGTCCAAAATCAGTGTGTGTGCAATTAGCGTATCTTGTCAGATGTAGTTTCAGTAATCTCCTAATGATGCTATCTTGGGTAGTGAAATGCGCATTGAGACACAGCATTATTGTTCTGGTGAAAGTATTTTCAATAAATGCACAAGAATATGTAGAAATTTACATCAACTTTACTCCATGCTAACGAATAGGCAAAACAGTGTTTTTTCAATATAAAATGTACCTGTTTCAGAAAACTATTTGGGTTTAATGGTTACATTAAAATGGATTCAGGAATGCTCTTCGTGAATACTTATAAGTTGTTCTCTCATTTACATAGTATTATAATTATTTTATTGTTTGAACCTTCCATTATTACACTGATTATAGTGTCTTGTTCTATTGTTGTAGCTTTTAAGTACTGTTGTAGATTTATATGATGTTTCTTTACACATCACCCTAAAGATGAATTTTGATTTAATTTTAGAAAAGTGTTTAACCTTGCACTTCAATTATATGTTATGTGTTCCATTGGGTTAATAAATTCGAAGACTTTAGATTACCAGTTTATTCACTATTAGAAAATATCAAAAAATTTGAACGTCTTAAGAAGCTTTGCGATCTCTGTCCTACACTTGCACGACATTTGTTAATTCATTTGTAAGTGTACTTTATCAGTGTAGATCCCGATTTTCATTCATGCACTTCAAAAGATCATCAATAACTATACAGTGAAAATAAATATTGTATGGCACAAAATTCCATAATACACCCCAAAAATAAACAAAGCAAGGTTGAATATGTTTCCATTTCAAATTCCAATTATTGCACTGAAGCAACATCAGCTAAGAAAGCTACCAAACATAATGTTAATTGTATATCATAACTTTATTGAGTATGTTCTTATCTTCCTGTACAACCTGATTCTGCACAAACAGAATTATAACCATGTATAATAAGCGAGCAAATAAAATAATAAAATTAATAATATTATATTCAGTTATAATACAATGATACTTGACATTTTCCTTCTGAATTATAGGTAATAACATATATTCCGACACTAAGTGGAAACTATAAACGCAACAGTATACAATGCAATTACCCCAAGATATAGAATTAGCCTTTTTTTTATTTAAAATTCTGTACAACCACCTCACTACATTGTACAGCTACTAAATTATGTGTATGTAAAATTTATTATGGTCAATCACCCCCTTTGATATTCAAAACGGACAAGTTTGAAATGCCAACAATTTTCAATAATTTGACACATGACTTTGCAATAATGATCAGATCAACTATGCTTTCCAGTGATTAAATAAAAAAATAAAAATATAGGAAAACTCAAGTCATGCATCACTATCAGAAAGTAAGTTTCAGAACAGACCAATTATAAAAACTTGACAGAAGGGTTCAGGACTAAATTGTTATGAAACGTACTTTTAATTTAAATTACACTAATAAAATACATGTATTTATCCCCCTCGCAATTTACACCCAATCAAATAAAGTGTAAATTGAAAGTCACCTGAGCTTAGCCTGGCTGTATTATAGAATCAAAAATTGATAAAATATAAAATTACTTCAAGTCTACATCAGAATTTCGATCTCTTAGTAATTCAGTGGGTGCAGACAAAATACAGTCAGCCTAACCAGACGTTTTCACTTTTCCACACTGCCACATATTGATGATTAATTATTAAACAAAATATCATATTATACAATTATCACAAATTTGAATGCCAAGAAGACAATAAAAATATATTCAACACAATAAATGACAATTCTTTGATTTGCGTGTAACAACATAACAGTTTAAATATATGACAGTGTACTCTAAGTGGTTTTTTTTTGATAAAAGGACCTTTATTACACTTATATATCACTAGAGCGCTGCAGCACAGTCCAGTTCTTTTTGATGAAAAATTAACACTCGTCCAGCAAGAGTATACCATCACTTGCAGCAGTTACCCGGAGCTTTAGCCCCCGCATCGCCCTCTGCCAGTCGTCTACCTTGAGCACTTCCTCCCTGACCGGTAGTTTGTTCATTCTTAGGAAGTTTCTTAGCTGAAGTGGAAAAATCATTGAATGGTTGAATTTGAAACGTAAGTGAAAAACATTTTAGGACTTTTCAACTCTATATAATCAACACATCAAAATATTGTTTCAGTTCCGTACATTAAAGTTTCGCATTGAAGAATTATTAGAATAGAGAAGTATCCTTCCAATAATATCTGGAAATAAACTGATTCCACTGTCGTACTTTGTAGCTAACTAATAGAAATATGGGTAGTCCATGACTTCAATTTCTTGGGGTTAGAAACTGTATATTTCGAAATGAACTTTCAGTTAATGTTTGAGAACATATTTTGAATTAGGTAAATTCTTAACGTTGATTGGTTCAAAGATGTGAGTTGTAGTTCATTTTGCTTACTTACCCAACAAGAAATAGTCACATAATTGACGCTTTTTTCAAGAGTCATAAAAACAGTATATTTTTGTTTATTATATTAGGGTGATCCACAAATAAATCATGTTCTTTTTCTTCAGACATGATATTAAAAAAAATTGGATAAGGTTGCTACGCAATTAGATTTATCACCAAGGAACTATGAATAAAGGCAGACAGAATGTCTTATTTTTCTCTCATTGAGTTACACTTAGCGTATGGCATTTCATTCTGAGGTTTTTGCTGTAATCAGCTAATGAGCATAGTGTTTGTCTTACAGAAAAAAGCTAGTAGATATCTATCCAAAGCTAAAACCAGAGATCACTTGTAAACTGCTTTTTCTGAAACATGGAATTTTGACTCTATACAGTATTTTTATCCTTGAGACAGTTTGCTTGATGCATGTGAAAAAATCCAATATGACAATTATAAGACCATATAATACTAGTCAAAACAACGACTTACCCCTATCGTAACCAAAAACGATTTTAACAAAAAATTATGTTTGAGAGTAAAAAACTTTTTAATAATCTGCCGATCCAAATATAAAATATATCAAGCCCGACAATCGTTAGAAAAACCGTTAAAATCAAATTATTAACTAAAGATACACACTTTTGTCTATTTTCCACGATAGTTCTATATTTGTTGACTAGTTTCGGTCATTACATCATTTTCAAAATTGTGTGTTTTTATAGTGTATCATCCTCAGTGAACATGAATTTTCACAAAATAAACAAGTTATCAATCAAAGAAGTATTAAGTAAAGCATACTACAGCCTCCAGGAATGTGACAGTATCTTGAGCTAACTGTAGCTTTAGCATGTATCTATAAGTTCAAATTATCTGCGTTCTACATTTACTTGTGATTTCATCATGAGATGTAGTAATATTTACTTATATGTTTTGTTCTTTTACAACTAGACCAAAGATATATGTATATCTATTTTTGTTTATATCTGCAAAGTTTTAACAATTTTATATGATACACTGACAAATCAATAAGCTAATAGTATTGTATTGTACATTTGAACCATGCTTTGTCAGCAAGAGTTTTCCCTCTTCGACAATAAAGTACATTTTTGATTGACTGATTGAGAAAAAGGGGAAACCTTTTATGCATTAACATTTTCAAATACTATAGCTTGTATCATGTAACTAAATTATACAAATATATTTCTATCTGAGCAATTATCAGTAAAATAAGATTAACATTATAATAAAATATTTTCATAACAGGTTACAAAATTATAACATGATTGGGATAACTTGAAAATTTGTTTTATTTTACCTATGTCAAAAATCTTATCGTGTTTCTATTTGACAAATATTCATTTTTTATTTCAGTTTCAGTGTTCACCCAATATGAAATATTCATCTAAAGTTCTGTGTCTCAATTTCGGTTTCACTTATCCTAACTATGATATCTGGAAATGAAAAGTGATTCCTGGAATCGCGTCCATCTGCATCTATTCTGATAGTTCATTATCTCTTTTAGAATTATGCATAGGGCCGCACTTACTAGCCAAATTCACAACATCATAAAGAAACAAATCTGTCTAGGGGAAACAACCCAATTGCAAGACAAAATATTAAGTAACTTACAACAGATATTCCAGTAGGTACATCTTCAAGAAGTTATGTGAGTCAGTTTGTAAGGTAAACAAAATGAGTAACTCCTAGATAAAATAGATTAATTTTGCATTTGAAATGGGCTTTGAACTCAATAAACCTGTATGTATATCCTTCAGGTTAAATACTAATTCAAGTTTTCATTATTTCGAAACCGGAATACCATTCTGTTTTTTCTCAATCAAAATGAAATATAACGGCTTGAAAATATACAACTACCTTCCAGCAAGAATTAGGGAAATCAAGAATCATAATAGATTCAGAGGTAGTGTGAAGGTTTTACTCTTTGATCATCCCTTCTATAGCTTGGATGAATTTTTTATAGCCAAATTATCTGAATGAACTCATTATCCATATATATCTGTCATTGCTGATGCTCAATTATGTGAATATGTATGTATGGATGGGTGTATATATATATGTACCATTATTTACTCTAATTTGATCAGATCCTGTGTTTATTTGTGTTTATACATCTGTAAGTGTTATTTTAACTATATTTTAACATACATCCATGTACGACAACTGACTTTGTCAACAAGAATTGTATTCTTTCGACAATAAAGCATATTCTGATTCTGATTCTGAGATTACAAAAGATGCAGAATCGTGCTATGCGAATAATCTTACAATGTTCGAGGATAACACAGATAGCAAATATGTTTCAAACCATTCAATGGCTACCAGTGAAGAAACTCTTTGAGTAACAAACACTAATTTTTATTTTCAATATCAAAATTGGATATTCACCTGTATATCTACAGAATAAATTAACTGATATGGCTGAAATACATGAGTATAATACAAGAAACAGAAACAATATAAAAGTTGAAACAGAAAAAATATAAAAGTTGAAAAATATAAAGAAATAGTACACATAGTTCTTTATTTTATAAAGGAGTAGATTGTTTCAATAACATTCTACAAAACATTAAAAATAGTGGTTCGATAAATATATTCAAAAGACGATTGAAGGATTACTTATGTATTTTCAATCAGGCTGTTTGTATTTTTTCATGTTAATTTGATTTTATTTATAATGTTACAAGGTATTTTCTATTGTAAATGAATTAGTTTCTCAACTAAATAAATAGGGTAGGTAGGGTTCAGACAGCGTTTGCAATGTAAGCACAAAAAATGTGTACCAGTGTTTCTCTACACTATATTATGTATGTTATATTCATAGAATAAATTCATTATTTCAGTTACGGTATATATTTTAAACAAAATTCCGAAACACGTCAAATTTAAATTATAATTTGACATGCTTAAACGGAAAAATGCTACCCCTACCTTTAACTCCCGTCGAATGACAAGTGGAACCCCCAATTTTTTAAATGGAAAGTATAGGCCTGGGATATATCGTTTGAAAGGTCTCTTCATTGTGTATTCAAATTTGTTATCGCTTTCAAGTTTACTGCATCAATTAAGATAAAATAAAATCATGTGGTTACCGAAATTCAATAAAATACACCCGAAACGTTTTTCAATATACTCAAAACTTATTTCATGTTGAGGCATTGATAATAAGAAAGTAAGTAAAAACCATAGCAATGTTCTTTTTAGATAACACCCTTTAAAAACTGTAAAAAAATTCCGTGGCAACGTTAGTTTAAAACGCCTTGTCAACTTATTTTGTATGTTACATTAGTTGTCAGCATTTTAATTTGAGTTTAAAGTTCGTTAACTTCAAGTCTGACAAATGGTTAGATTAACGGAAATGCATAAAATAACAGTTTTACAAATGATTGGTTACGGAGATAAAACCCGAACACAACAGGAAGTAGCTCGCCTATTTCATGAGAAATTTACTAATATTCCGCCCATATCTCAAGGAACAATAAGCAAAATAGAGAAGCAGTTTCGCGAGCTTGGTCATGTGGTGCAGATAAAAAAGAGCAGCTGCCAATGCAATGAATGATGAACTCAAATTAGATGTGACGCTTGAGTTTGAGGAAAACCTACATACATTGAGTAGACAGGCATCCTTTACATTTAATGTTAGCCATAGTAAACATATTAAAATAAAATGAATCCCTTTAAAATGATACCTACTCAGGAGCTCATGGAAGACTAGTTTGATAGAAGAACTTATTTTTGTGAGCAAATGATGGACATCTGTCTGTTTAAATCTGTTTTTCCGTTAATCAGCTGTCGCTCCCATATGAACGACAACTCTCAGAAGTTGAGAAACTAGGTGCGAGCTAAGGACTAACGAAGTCTTACCTTTTACCGTGTGATTCCTAACACGGTTGAAGAAACATCCCAGCTTCAACCAGATAAATTCTCTTGAGAAAAATATCTGGTCGAGGCAGGAATCGAACCCACGGTCTTCCGATCGTGAGTCGGGCGCACTACCACCGCGGCCAATTCCAAATGTTGGATAGCAATATCATCCAATTAGAAGACGTTATGTTTTCTGATGAGTGCACTTTTTATCTAAACAATCATGCTAATCGGCAAAATTGCCGCTACTGGTCAACGGAAAATCCTCACTGGATGAGAGAGGAACCCTCAAAATGTTTGGGCAGGGATTGTAGAAAATCATATCACTGGTCTCTTTTTCCCTGAGGGTAAATTGAATGGCTATAATTATTTGGCACTACTTCAAAATGATGTCATTCCAAGTTTAGCAAATTTATACATTGATCAAGGAAACTCTCAAGTTTCAGTGAATACGATATGGTTTCAGCTGGATGGAGCACCACCACATTACCAAGTTAATGTCCGGCAATACCTCGATACAACATTTCCCAATCGATGGGTAGGGAGGCGAAGATCGATTGATGGCCAGCGCGATCACCTGATCTTTCATCATTAGATTTATTTTTATGGGGATATGTGAAGAGCAATGTGTACAAAACTAAACCTTCAGATTTGAATGACTTAAAAGAACGAATAACGCTTGCGATTAGGTCGGTAATGCCTGATATGTTAAATAATGTTAGAAGACAGTTTCATTTGAGATCAGGATGTTGACAAGACGTTCGCGGTGAACATTTTGAACATCTACTTCGTTAACATCGATAGTTGTTTTTCGTATTTTACATTTCATTACGTTTTGCATTACATTTTAGTTTTTCAGTGTATTTTATCGAATTTCGGTAACCACACGATTTCAATTTATCTTATTTTAATTGTTGCAATAAACTTGAAAGCGATAACATTTTTGAATATAGAATGAAGAGAATTTCAAACGATAATATCACAAACCTATTCTTCCCATTTAAATAATGGGGGGTTGTACCTGTCATTTGAAGGCGGTTGAAGGTAGGTGTGGCATTTTTACGTTGAAGAATGTCATATTATAATTTACATTTGACGCGTTTCGTTTTTTTTAATATGTACAATAACCGAAATAATTAATTTATTCCATTTGGCTTTTACACACTGTATAAACCTTCCTCGTTTATCACTGTATCTATTACTAAAACCCAGATCAAAATCCGTTACGTAGTTTCAAAGATATAAGCATACATAATCTCTACATATACTATGTAGAGATTTTATGAAAATTAATATTTTTGTAATTTATTCTAGTATAAACTCTTTGTGAGCTTCTCTCTTGGGTGCTTTGTAAGCTTCTCTCTTGCAAGTACTTTCAAAAATATTTTCATTGCTTCTTCTAAAAATTACATAGGAGAAAATTTAATTTCACTCTCAGTTAACTTACATTCAAAACATGATATTCCTAACTGGATTATTTAATGGAGAACGAGCAATCTAATATTTGCTTATTTCTAAAAGGAAAACTGTAAAATGTATAATGTCAGACTAAAATAGAATTCTGCTTTGTTACTTGATAAATACATCAGGGATTATGGGATATTGAATCAAGCAATACAAACTAGATATGGTTTGGTGATTCAATATTGATTTATGCAGGATGGTGTTGAAAAAACTTTCAGTCAATTTATTTTTTAGTCATTTCAAGATATTCGATATATAACCTCTATTCCATGAACTGTTGACTGAGAGATGTAATTTGTATTAATAAAATACTAAAAAAAATATCATAATTCAACAAAATTGTGATGAATGTATCATCAGGGTTAATAACATACAGAATTAAAAAATCCTACAAAAAACCATCAACGGCAGAAAACATTTTAGTTCAACACAGATGGAAAATAACTTTGTCTTCCTGCACCATTCCGTGCAAGTACTGAACTAAATGATGAAAACACGCATCAGAGATCCACTATAGATACAGTCACAGATCTCATTAATGGTACTTGACTGGATCACGATTTGAGATTTGAACTCAAATATTCTTCTGTGGGGCAAAAGTAAAATTCAAAATAGTTCTTTAGAGATGAACTCGGATTTATTAAGGTGAAAAATTGGATTTTATTATAAAACAATACGTACGAACTCGTCACAAAAAAAACGGGACAACCGCAAATATCACTTCGTTGCAAATGATAAGCAGCACATATCTTAACGCACTTCATTCAGTAATAATGTAACAGGCAAAATAATACGAATTCGAAATAATGGGGACAATGAACAATTCTTTAAATTAACGATTGAAAAAATGCTCCGTAAATATTTTTGAAATGATTGAAAAAATGTTTTGTTAATATTTAGCCAAACAAAAATTATATTATCATTCAAGTAACACTTTGTTAGATTTTCACTGGACAGTTTCCAAAACCGCAACACAGTTTTCGCTATACAATAGTTTCGTTAAACTCAAGTATGAACATACTTGAGGAAGTTATTGTAAAGCGAAACACGTGTTGTGTTTTTGTAAACTATCCAATGAAAATCTCACAATAAAGTATTATTTGAATAAGCTATGGATGTTCATCAAATATCGACCAATTTCATGACATATAATAGGACATTTAAAAAACAGTCACAAATTAGATATATTTCATATGAAATAATAAAGTTGAGGTTTACTGCTAAAATTTTTTAGCTGTGACAGTGAAACTGATATAATTTTTTGAGTTTTCAAAAATCTATAGGTGATGACTAATCAAAAAACAGAAACAATTGAACTGAAACAAATCAAGAATTTATTTAACTGAACTCCTTTATATAAAAAGTGGAACACATTCTTTGAGTAGTATTCTATTATTTATATATGCAATCTTTAAACTTTTTAATTTTTGAATGAATCACTTTTCTCAAATCAGACACTCCAAATAAAGCAATAAAAATATCATTTGACAAATATTAGACAACTCAAAAAAAATTGATAATACCTATTCCTAGACAAAAATTGGCTTACTGAAGTGTCATATTCATTACAAACTTGGATTACTATTTGATAAGTATCTATTTTGGTATTTGACTATTTATAAGGTGAGAAACTTTCAATTATCTTTTTATCCTGTTGCAAATAGGGACCTGAAATGTATTAAATGAGTTATTTATATCAGTGATGGTCTCTAAGCCATTTATATCATCTATATAATGGATGCTACTGAAAGATGTAAAACTTATTTTCGAATCCTAGCATGTAACAAATGTAAATGTTCATTAATAAACCAATAGGCATGTTCAGAACGCTCGTTTTCAAGCTAGATAAACAGTTTTTTCCGTTCAATCAATAATATAGTTTCACTGAAAGCATGTTAACATTATGAACTTCTATGACGTCTATAGACAATATAACTAATTGATATTAACATATACTCACCTATTGCTAGAAATATATCATTAACATTCATTGCTGTTTTGGCAGAGGTCTCCATAAACAGTAACCCGTTTTCATCTGCATATGTTTGGGCCTCTTCATACTCGACCATGCGTTTGTTCGCAAGATCCTGTTTGTTACCAGCTAGAGCTATGACAATTGTGGGGCTAGCTTGCCTCTGGAGTTCTTTTACCCACGTCTTAGCCCTACCAAACGTATCTTGATTGGTTATATCGTAAACTACGATAGCTGCCTGAGCTCCTCTGTAGTACATTGGAGCCAAACTGTGGTACCTTATTTCAGAAATAGAGAGGTTATCAGTTATTTTATATCAAAACAAATATGTGTTATGACAATATGTCGAAGGAATAGTAAGGTATCTATCATGTGAATAAAGAAATTCCTTGTGAAGCGTGTGATGTTTTGGAAGGGCAATGATAATTTCGACCTAGTTTACAGCTCGAACATATCTGATCTGAAAGTGATTTTCTGGTACACAATTTTTTTTTTACTATTTCATTGAAAAACAAGCAGTGTGAACTTTAATGTTTTACTTTCATTGGAATTATCTGGCATATACCTATTTGTGGGAGATATGTTATAATTTTTTTATTCCAAAATTAAATTGTAAACAGGCATTTTATACTTTTTGAATTCTATTTTTATTATTGCTTCCAAGGAAGGGCCGTATAAGAGGTCACAATGATTGAATTGCAATAAGAAAAACGAATCACATACCAATTTTTTTTTCTTGTTGAAAAGGTATCTGAAGTAGATTACAGTATGCTTTGAGTATACAATTTGAGACGTGGAGTTTGAAACAGAGTTCACAATCAATTACTAAACCAAGGTTTTTTAATGTTTCACATTTATCTAAAGGGATATTATGAATTTGGATATCTAAGATTGTTCGTTTAAAGTTTTGGGTGCAAATACTATAAAGCACTTTGTCGAGTTCGAAATCAGAGAACATTTTAAAGAATAACTGAATAATATGTTCAGATCTTCATTAATACAGTTTATACTTTTGTTTAGCTTTGCTGGAGAAAAAACAAAATATACTTGAGTATCGTCACTGTAGCTTTGATGTTTACAAGTAAGTAGGTACTCAGTTTTTTAGTGAGGATTGACGTATAACTGATGAACAATAAGGGTTCAAGAATGGACTCTTAGGGTACTCTTCTTGACTATGCACCATCCACTAAGACTTGTTGAAGTCTGTTATTGAGGAAGTATGAAAAAAACGTTGTTTCTTCTTCAGATAAAAACTGTAGTATTGCAAAAAAGAAGTCATAAACCAAGGGTTGAATGCTCTGTAACGGTCATTTGACTGATTACAATCAATGGAAATGTTCTGGTTAATCATTTTGATTTTTTTGTTTTCGAAAGTATATTTTTGATTTGAAATTAATTAAGGAGCAATTTGACAAGATTTTTTCACGTTTCGATAGTCAGAAGATAGTGTAACGAATCTGAAGCCGGCCCTGACCGATATCTCAGCCAGCAAACGCATGACATCACCGCGAAAGAAGCGGTCTGACACGCCGGGAAAATACTAGGCAAGTACAGAGACCTCTAGATAAATCTAGAACGATAGTTAGCGGTATAAAAGCCCTGCCTCCCTTCCATAGAAGGAGAGTGTATTCAGAAAGCGAATCGAGTGGTTAACAAACAGTGAAGATAAATTAAGCGTTATTTGCTAAGTGGTGTATATAATTTAGTTGTGATAGTGAAGTATTGTTAAAATGGCGAATTATTCAGTTCATAAGATATTGACAGTTTTTTAATTTGTTTATTTCCATACTCTCCAACAGGTTGAGTTTCAAACTTACTTCTGGAAATGGAGGGGCTTGAATTCATGGTTGAACTCCTCATGTCCCTCTGTAATTAAATGAGTGGCAAATGTGGAATTTATTTTTCAATTCTGGAAACTATTTTTGTGTTCCTTTATGCGGGCTTTGAACATTCTTTCACTTTGACCTATATAAAACATCGGATAGTGGCAAATGTGGAATTTATTTTTCAATTCTGGAAACTATTTTTGTGTTCCTTTATGCGGGCTTTGAACATTCTTTCACTTTGACCTATATAAACTGAACTTTTATCTGTTGTTCTTAATGTCCATGATAGCAATATTTACACATTTGTTGTACAGAAAATCTGAAATATTTGTAGTGGGTTGGCCTAAGTAGGTTAAGGTTCTATAACTTTTATCCTCTTCTATTCGAATTGGATAAACTTCCTTCAAAGCTTAGCTGTAAACTTTTTTGATAATAAAGAATGTATTAGACTGCTATCGTAATAATTGTTGACGACTATTTGTTTTATTATGTTCAGTTCTTTATTGAAATTCGCCTCTGACAAGGAAAGATTTATCGGTCTATGGATCAGATTGTTGAATGCTGCTACTTTGTGCTGATACGGGTGGGTGGACGAATTATGAATGATAATATGTGCTGGTTTACGATAAATTCAAAAATCATGTTTGTTGTTTTGGACTTGACAATAACAAAATTCAACAACAAACATAATTTTTCAATTTATCACAAACCAGCACATACAGATATTATCATTCATAATTCGTCCACCCACCCGTATCAGCATAACAGCAGCATTCAACAATGATCCACAGACTGATAAATGTTCCCTTGTCAGAGGCGAATTTCAAAAAAGAACTGAACATAATGAAACAAATAGCCGTCAACAATGATTACAATAGCAGTCTAATACATTCTTCATTATTGAAAAAGTTATAGAGCCAAACTTTGAAGGAAGTTTACCCAATTCGAAGAGAAGAGGATACAAGNTAGCTTAGTAGAATCAAAAAAGTTATAGAACTTCAACCTACTTAGGCCAACCCACTACAAATATTTCAGATTTTCTGCACAACAAAGGTGTAAATATTTCTTTCAAAACCAACAAAAACGTAGGCATGCACATTGAGAATAACAAAGATAAAAGTTCAGTTTCAGAAAAATCGGGAGTGTATAAATTATCATGTGGGTCATGTCCGATGTTTTATATAGGTCAAAGTGGAAGAATGTTTAAAGCCCGCATAAAGGAACACAAAAATAGTTTTCGGAATGGAAAACTAAATTCCACATATGCCACACATTTAATCACAGAGGGACATGAGTTCAACCATGAATTCAAGCCCCTCCATTTCCAGAAGAAAGTTTGAAACTCAACCTGTTGGAGAGTATGGAAATAAACAAATTCAAAAACTCTCAATATCTCATGAACTATCAAACTGAACTGAATAATTCGCCATTATTGAATCTGTTTATTTCCAGCTAAGAATAGTTAAGTATATTTGTACTGTAAATATACTTTGAAAAATTTAATCTATTCATATAGTTAATGAATTCATACCCGCCTTTTTTAGGTAGATTCATTCATTAGAAAGTAGGCATATAAGTAGGTACTATGTTAGAGTATAAAATAGTTGTAATTTAGAAGTAACTTTTAGTTTATGCTTGAGGAAGCTATTGTATAACAAAACTGTCGCGGTTTTTGTAAAACCCTTTATACTGAAAATCATACAATTAACTATTAATTAGTTTTAATATGGATTTTCATCAAGTATCGGCCAGTTCTATTCAATGTATTGTATAAGTTTAAAAATCTCCTTATAGGACGAAACTGCAGTAACGTTAGTTACATATACAAGTGGTGAAAAAACATAGGAAGTTTTATTTCTCTGTTTTATAAAAATAACTTTCGCTCTTGACTTCATCAGCCTAGATAGACCCTACTTCCGTGGGATTGTCTACAAAAAAAGTAGCATTTGTTACTTCTGGATAATGTAGACAAAAATAAATACTATAGTAATATTCATACAAATTATATGTCGTCAATTAGCAGCATTACAATGCATATATAAATAATAAAAGTTCCAGCATGGTTGAGTTTTTCTTAAGCAAATGGAGGGTTGGGATACCAACAAATTTAATAATCAATTAAAAGTTCTGTGGGCATATTCTGATAAGTATTGAAAGTTCCTAAAACAAACTTCTAACACATTTTCAATAAATCAGAAATTGGAATTTGCCGTACCTACCTATATCTTTGGGATCCAAATAGCTGAAGTCGATTATTTGGTAATAAAGGTATCCGAAGATAGTCAACTTTGTCACAAGTTGAAAATCTGTATCTTACCATTTACGAGATTCCCATATATTTGAAAAATCACATGATTTTTGTCCAAAATTTTGGAAACAACCCTTTTATAAATAAATTATTGTTTTATATGTATGAGACATCGATTAGTATTCCATCATTTCGATATTTGTCGGCTGTAGCTGTAATTATTTCTGGACTGTACAACTATTTTCTGGTTTTTCTTTGTTATATTCACCTAAAAAATGTATTATTTACCCCCTAAATTTCCCTCAGAAAATTGAAAAAGGAATTTTTTTTATAGAACATATTCGAAGAATTCGACAAACTAGTAGAAAATATTTCATGGATTCAAAAAAAGTTTCTGACTTTATCTGCTGACACAGTAGTCATTTCCATAACAATGTTCCTGGTTATCGTTTTTATAGAAGTCTATATCAAATTTGAACTGATTTTGGATGGCCCTGGACTCACAGAGTATTTGACATCTTCTAGTATGTACACAATATATGAAAATTGTTTGCATAATTACGAAAATATTTGACGTACGTGATTTTATCGAAAAAAAAAAGAAACAACTAACAATCAACATTTTTCAAGGTACCAGCAATAGCAAACAGTGAAAAACATCAATAATAATTTTATGATTTATGTCAAAAGTATTTTAATCATCAAAATATCACAGTCTGTAAAATTGAATTAGTTGTAAATTGATCTCGGTTATATGAAGAAAAGTATGGATTGATTTACCTTTCCTGACCTGCTGTATCCCAAATTTCGAACTTCACAGTGGTGTCGTCTAAGCAGATAGTTTGTGTAAGGAAAGCAGCACCGATGGTACTCTCCTGGTACTCATGGAACTGCCCTTTGACAAACCTCAATACCAAACTGGATTTGCCGACCGCACTCTCTCCTAGCAGAACGAGTTTGAACTGGCAGATCTTGCCCTGAGTGGAACCATTTGGTCGTTGAGCTGTACCAGTCCTGTTTGCCATTTTACCTGATGATGCAAGGAAACTAATCAAAGCATGAAAAAAGCCCGAGTCACGCCATAAGTAGTACCAAATGATACTGTTTGCCTTAAATAGTTGTAAGTGAAAATTTTATTGTTACAGCTATCACTGTTACATCTATGTGTGGGTTATTGATGAATAAGTGGTATGCGTATTTGAATGCGTATTTAATAGTTCAAAATTGTTACTTCAACTACATATTATATTTGTTCGAATAATGACCTATTTATTTTGTAGAAATTCATATTGAATTGGGATAAAGAAAATAACTTTTGTCTAATTTCTACTACGATTTTTATTTGTTATGACCGGTTTCAGTTTATTGAACAACTTCAAGTAAACCAATCATTGTCTCAGTTTAATAAACCGAAACCGGTCGCTAAGTAGTCGTCAGGCATAGTCTCATGAATTCATGGACTTTTTCGGTCGATACCTGACATCCTCGACGTACTTGAGTATTTTAATTGGACGGTGAATCAAATAGTGGGTCTGTAGGTAGTCTCATTTTTTTTCTAATTATTAGAATCGATGGAGAAAATCCAGTGCTTTTTCTTCACGTCAATACGACAGTGAGACCAGTAATATCTCCTTTGAATTCCAGGAGCCAGGATCCTTTTGATAACAAAGTGCCCCTTGCTCAGCTACACTATGAAGTTTTTCCATAAAATCTTTGATTTGTGCTGCAAGAGTTCCAAGGAGCTAATGAAACCAAGGCAAAAAACAAAATTCTCTTCTGGCGACGGATGCACTTTCGCATAACGCATAAAGCTACCTTCTTAGTCTCTTTGTTGTATCGTATGAAAGTTAACAAAGCCTAGGTTTTTATCGTCTTCCTCTTCTTGAAAAGAAGGGAGAAGTTATTGTTCATTTCCCTAAGTTAGGACTATGAAACTATCAAATGAATAAGGAAGAGTATAAGAGCCAAACAACATGATAAAATATGACGCAAAACTGGAAATTTTTCTCTATATTTCTGAGAAAACAAACGGTTGTCTATCTAATGATTGATCTCTTGACCCAAATTTAGGTATGTTTCTAAAAGTTCAAGCAACAATTTTTTAGCACCCGTTTGGTTGTTTAGTATCACCGGTGAGAGCTGTTACCTATTGGAACAGGGATTAAATAAAAATGGGATTGATAAAGGATGCAATATTTTAGCTTTCGTATCTAATTACAAGCTTGCAGTAAAAGCTGCAGAGAGGCAGAAAGCGATGTCTCATTCGACGGTCAATGTCGAAGGTTAGTTTTGCAATGGATCGCTGTTGAGACCCTTGTTGTGGAAGGAAGAGTTGAAAATCCTATGTGATTCACATACAAATTTACTCCCAGAACGAACATTTCTCGAAAAAATTTAAATATTCTTCATTTTTGTTTACTTCTATTGAATATTTTTTTAAATAATATCAAAATTGGATTCTGATACCTTATTATTGAAAATGAGTACGGTATAAATTTCATATTTTGATAACAGAACCCAATTTATTTAAAAAAAAAAAGTGAATGTGAATGTAATGGGCGCCACTGAAAACTACACTTTAGTCAAATGGAACAATGTGAAAAAATCAGGAATGAACTTTTTTGAAAACTCATAGATTTTTATATATGTTAAAAACTCGATTTTCAAACGGATGTGAATTTGTCGACGTAGACAAGTAGGTACACTCATAGAAAAACAACACCATGAACTTTACCTCCAGGTTTTCCAAGTCGTCTGAGAGGTGAAAATATTCTGGAATTACATTTCATGGGTGGTAATGGGTTGAAAATTATAAACTCATATAACTAAAAATTTAATTTATACGTCTATAAGATTAAGATATTATATTTATGGGGCGATTGATTCAATGAAAAACATCAAGTACGAGTTTTCCAAACCATCTGAAAGAGTTAAAATGTAGCAAAATATTGCGATGTGGCGGTGAAATTGAAATATTTATGTTATAACAGCTGGTCGGATCTATACATTGAACCTCGCATTGAACATGTTGTTCGAGGCTTAGAATTAGGGTGCAAAAATAATATTCTTTATAAACAGTTTTATTATTGGAATGATTCGATTTAGTGAGACATTTCAAAAATTCGGTATCAGGTGAAATAGTCCCGCCAAACAACCTGGAAAACCCGGACGTTATGTTCATCTCATTGTAAAACCCGGACGTTATGTTCATCTTATTAAACTCAATTTATTATTGGATAGATCATCAGGGCTAACATACTTATATCAATTTTAACAAGTGTATAAATTCAATTTTCAATGATATGAGTTACAACCCTTCGGGTGGCCTGAAAAGCCAGACGTGATACTTACCTTGTTGAATCGATCACTACGAATAACATCTCAATCTTGTAGGTGTACAAATTCAACTTTTGATGATACGGATTTTTTAAAAGTTCGGTCCGATTTTCACTTGATCAATAGGAATAACATATCCCAAAATATTTTATATGCACATATCTTGTAGATGTTTGCATTTGATTTTCAATTACAAGGTTTTCTCAATTATCACCCCATTTCCAGCCCGGAAAACTCTGAGGTGAAGTTAATCTTGGGCAAGCGATCAACAGAAATAACTTACCTCAATCTTGTAATTGCACAAAGAGAATTTTTCATGGTACGATTTTTCAAAATATTTCCACCCTATTGTCACGTCTTCAGATTATTCGGAAAACTAGTACAGTTTACTTAGTTCACTAAATCTATCAATAGGCATATTTTAATGAAAGATGGTAGGTATACAAAGGTGTTGAAGGAAAAGAATAATCATTTAATATTTCTCTCAGTGTACTCTGTGGATAACGTCACCCTGGTGATTTTCAATTCTTCCTCGCACAATTAGACTTCAAGATGGTTGCTGGTTGGATGGATTCAATGGTTCTTTCTACTTATTCAATCAACTGCTACATGAGAACGTTGGTTCGATCCCAACCGTATGACTATCGAAGTTTATTGCCTATTGTTAAACCCATGTTGGGAATAACATATTTCAGATTTTGATGCTTTGGATTTTAGAATTTTTTTGGGGACAAATAGGTACACCCTTTGAATGTGATAGTAGTAGGCATGTGTTTTTGTAGCTCCATATCTCAATAAATATTTATTCTACTGTGTCGTATTATACAGGGTGTCAATTTGAAAACTTTCCACCCTTAATATCTTTCTTCCAGTAAACAACATGAGGAATAAAAAAAAACAGGTCAATTTTATTGTCAAAGGGGACACTTTTAGGGATTATTTTTAGCCCCAGTGGTTCAACCCCGTAGGAGGGGTAGATGTTACCCATAGAATTTTAAATGGGAAGGGGGGTCAAGTGGCACATCATTTTGATATTCTTACCAGAAGTGGTGAGAATATTAGGTTGTAACGTTCCAACCCTTTATTAGGGGTAACATTATCTATTAGCTCCAATTAATTTACATCAAAAAGTAGTCTAATGGTAGTTGTGTTTAATAAATGCTGAATTTGCAGAATTGAAATTGATGTAATTTATGAAGAAATTTAAAAGTGCGCACGAAGGGCTATGTCTTTTTAACGAAAGACTACAAATTGTAATGTAAGTCACCGGTTTGTGCTTGATTTGGTGAATAAGTTTTACGAAACTTGTTCAGTGACAAAAAAAAAAGAAATAACCCCGGAGTACTAAATGAAGCAGCTCAGAGTGGGCTTCAGAGCCCACGAGAACCTTACGATCAGTATCGGAACAGACGGGAATGAAATTTCATCCTTATAAAATTCAGATTCTTCAAAAGTTCCACGAGGATGATTATGATAGAAGAATAGAGTTTTATGAAATCATGTCTCATCGAGCCAATACCATCCCTAATCTTCTGTTAAACGTCTGTTTCAGCGATGAGTGTTGATTTTTTCTGAATGGCAATGTTAATAGGAAGGACATACACAAAAAGTAAATCTTTGGTTTGGTATTCTTGGAAATGCCATTATTGGGCTATTATTTCAGGAATAAAACTTGACTGGCAATATGTACCTTGAAATGCTTGAAGATACTCTTATAACTCACGAGCTAGAAACTCAAATAGATGCAGAAGGTAATGAACTTTTGCAGGGGTATCTGTTACGTTTTCAGCTAGACAGTGCTCCACCTCATTATATTCTTTCCGTCCGACAGTGATTAAACGAGAGATTTCCGGATAGATGGATTGGCAGAAGGGGAGCAATTGAACGACCTCCGAGATCACCGGATTTAACACCCTTTGATTTCTTTCTTTTGGGCCATCTTAAATCCGTTGTTTATAAAACACAACTTTCTGATGTTAAAGAACTCAAAAGACGAATTACAGCAGCATGGCAGTCAATTCCTAGTGAAGTTATTCCTAGTGAAGTTCAAATTTTGATTTTTTGCCTCTTCTCAGCTCATTACTATATGTTGTCGTTGAGCGATTTTCAACCACTTTTTTCTACGAATTACAAGTGAACCTGAGAGCTATCAAAACAACACAAAAAATTAACCAGGCACTTGGTAATTATAGAGTTATTGAACGCACTATTTGACGTTTTTTTACGAAATTTCTTTTTGGAGATTTCAGCTTCGAACATAAATCCCGAAGTGGTTGACTTACAGTAATCCAGGACGAGGATTGGAGGAACTTAATGAGATAGCGTGGGATAGCGGGAGAACTGGGCTTCAGCTCCCATGCGGTTTTTGATGGTTTGAAATGTATTGGAAAGGTGGAAAAGCTCAAGAAGTGGGTCCCCCATGATATGAACGAGCGACAGTTTGTTCTTCTTTGCTTTTGGGCAACCAAAACGCCCTTCATTTGGATCGGATAGTCACGTGTGATGACAGCGTTGAGCCACCCAGGTTCTACTCAAAGTCGAAAACTCAACAAAAATAGACCATGGTTGCTGTATGGTGGTCAGGGGCTGGTGTGATTCACTATTACTTTCTACAACCAGGCCAAACCATCACAGCAGAGTTCTGTTGTGAGGAAATTGACGAAATGTCCCGAAAATTGCGTCAGCAGCAGCCGG